CTATCTTCTCTGTCTTTTCTCTTTTCTCTATTTCTTCTCTTCCTTTCTCCTCTCTCCCTCCTTTCTCTTCTATCTCTGTTTATCTATCCCCTCTTACCTCTCTTTTTCACTCTCTGTCTTCTCTTTTTTCTATTATACACATATTACACACACACACACACACACACACACACACACACAATGTCCAAGAGTGATTCATACTGAAGGAACTTAAGGGGGGTTTATCACAAACAAGAATGTCGGGGGCCTCCTGAAGCACGTCTTCCAACACCGTGGCCCAGCTGTGGCATAAGCAGCAAATGGAACAGCCTGCTATGGAGCCATATGGTGTAGTGGACATAGCTCTGGATTGGAGACATGATTTGACTTCAACTCCTGACTGTGCCACTTACTTATTTTATGGCCTTGGGTAATTTAATTCAATTCAACAAGCATTATTAACTACTTACTGTGTACCAGGCATAGTGCTAGGCACTGGGAATACAAAACCAGATATAAAACAGCCCCTCCCTCAAGGAAATTATACTTCAGTGTGTTGTCACTTACTCCCCCGAAACTTGGGTTCCTGTCTATCAAATGAAAGAGCTGGCCTAGATGACTTCTCAGACTCTTTCAAGCTCTAAACTGATGAGCCGATGAGCCTTCAAGTTCTAAATCTTTTTTTTTTTTTTTTTTTTTTGGTGAGGCAATTGGGCTTAAGTGACTTGCCCAGGGTCACACAGCTAGTAAGTGTTATGTGTCTGAGGCCGAATTTGAACTCAGGTCCTTCTGATTTCAGGGCTGGCGCTCTATCCCCTGCGCCACCTAGCTGCCCCTCAGTTCTAAATCTTGATTCTAAGTTTTCGTGTGCATATGGGGAAGGCAGTAGGGGAGGGACTCTCATTTGGTTCACAGGTTTAGGGCTGACCTCGACTCTTGGAGACAGAGTTAGAAACCGCAACAGGCTTCGAAACAGTCTACTACGACTAACAATAAATTCAAGTACCCTTGAAAGAGCACCATTATTATTATTATTATTTGTCCTTTATAGCCTTCACCCATTACTGTCTGTTGCATTATCTTCTAATACAAAACAATAGTGTATAGTTCCAATGGGTCAAACTCTTGGCCCTGTCAGAAAGCTGCCCACAAAACTCTCAAGGGCAGCCAGAACTAGATAAAATGTAATCGAGAAATGTTTAACCAAAAAAAATTTCTTAAACAATATAACATAGATAATGTTCATTTGTAGTTTTCTAAGTCAATATGCAGAGGCAACTAGGTAGCGCAGTGGATAGAGCAGATAGAGCTGGTCCTGGAGTCATGAAGTCCTGAGTTTAAATTTGACCTCAGACACTTACCATCTACGTGACCCTGAGCAGGTCACTTAAGTTCTGAGTGTGTTAATCTACTGGAAAAGAAAATGGCAAGCTGCTTCAGTATCTTTGCCAAGAAAACCCTAAGGACAGCATTGGCATGGTATAGCACACGGGATCATGAAGAGTCAGACATGCCTGAACATCCAGACAAGCAAGTCAACATGTGGACTTTTTTCTCTTTGAGTTTGACACAACCAGGATAGGTGACCGTCTATATGATAAACAGTAACTGACTGTCTCTCATTCCACCATTATAAATGAATTCTTCAGAACAGTGGCAGGTGGTTCCAGATTCCTGGATTATCAGTCCTGCCAAGGATTTCAAGAGCTGTCCTTGACATAAACATGGTAAGAAATGCCCTTATAAATTGTGCTGATGCTGTGATTACATGTAATATTTCATTTATTAGTACCAATTTGATCAGGTATTCTTATTTTGAGGGGAAAAAATACTGCCAGGACTTTCCTGATGGCACTTGTTAATTGTGGCTACCTTTGTTCAGGCAGCGTGCCTAGCAATGTTGTGCAGTATTGAATCAGATGTGGATTTGAACACTAGCACTAAGTGAGCGAGTCACTCAAACTTTCTGAGTCTCAGCTTTCTCATTCATAAAATGGGAATGATAATGGAATCATAATATCTACCTCATTGGGTTGTTATAAGAAAACTGATTTATAAACCTTAAAATACTATATGGTTGTGACTCTAAAGCTACACTGAGACTTCTGGGACACCTTGTACATTTGAAACAGATTGTCCTCCATTATTCAACCGACATCCGTTTTAGACATAGTAATTCAAAGGATGGGTTTAGCTGCATTGAAAACTAACAGATTTTCAAATTTAGAATCTTCAGGATAAGAGATCAAGTCCAGCTGCTCAAAATGCAAATGGATATGTAGAAAAGATGTGGCATCATAAGTACTTACAGTGGCAGTACTACTATGCAAAGTAATCTCCAGCCAAAAAATAATAATAATAACCCTTCTAACCAAAGGTGCTAGCTAAATATTGGAAGGTACACACTCAGTTTCTGCAAAGGTACTTTTATAAATAAGCATTTCTCTCTAGCTTCCATACAACTCTTGGTTACATGAGGGAAGCATGGAAAAGGAGACAAGCTTCACCAAGTTCAGAGGTGGCATGTGTAAGGATGAGCAGCCACCGAGAATTGAGCAAGGCTGGAAAGATGAGAGGTGTACAATGTGGTTCTTTCTGGGAGAGGAAAGAGAGACGGCAAAGATGAACATGGCTCCTTAAACACTTCAAAGAAGAGATAGAAGCTTGCTGCTTCCTAGCTAACCTTTGATCTGATTAGCAATGCTTTCACAGAATCTCTGAACCTCAGAGTTGGAAAGGATCCCAAAAACCAAGTCGAGCCTATATGTGAGTAGGATTTCCTAGTGTACATGTCCCCAACAGTAGTCTCACATTCAATCCAAGGGTAGGGGATTTACTATTTTCCAAGACACCTCATTACACTTTTGGACAGCTCTGAATGTTAGGAAGTTCATCTTTATATTGTGTCAAAATCTGCCTCTCTATGAGATCCATCTTTAATTCATCACCTTAAAGCCCTGCTAGTTCTGACCTCTGAGGTATGACAGGATTACTCTCTTCTATATAATAGCCATTCAAAATACTTGAAGATAGCTATCATTTTCCTCTCCCCTCCTCACTTCTCTGAGAAATTTTCTCTTTTTATGTCCTCAAAAAGGTAAGGCCATCAAGGTCCCACGACTTCCATGGACCTTGTTGAATCTCACCTTTTGGCCCCTTGAACCTAGGATTGTCCTTTCCATACATTTTAGACCAATCCATGAAGTGTGCCAAGGGTCAGAATGACTTCCCTCATTGAAATGGAAACATCTCAAAGAAAAAGAGCAAGGGTTATCCCTCCCAGAATTATAGTCCATGAATCAGGTCCATTTACCTTGACCCCCAAGATCACCAACATGATGACTGTGGCAGCAATGATTATTATCACGGAGACCAGGACTCCAAAAGAGATCCTTGAATGGGAGTTGTCCAATGCCTCAGCTGCTGAAAGGAGGTCAAAAGTCATGAACTGGCAGTCATAGAGAAATGCAGCATGGTACCCACTACATCACCACCCTACAAACTCATGGCAACAGTCTTGGAAATTAACATTAAGGGAACCTCCCTCTGCGCGTACAGGAACCAGAATCAAGTCAGTTGTGGGATTGTGGGAGGATGGTGTTCTTACTGGCAAGAATTAAACTCCAGTGATTCCCTATTACCTTTAGGATCAAATACAAGATTCTTTGGCATTTAAAGCTCTTCACCACCTTGCCCTTTATCTTTCCAGTCTTCTTACACTTTACACATATTCTGTGATCCAGCCATACTGGCCTATTTGCTGTCTTTCACATGAAGCTACATCTCCCATCCCTGTGCCTTTGGACTGGATGTTTCCTGTACCTGGGATATTCTGGGATAGTAAATGTTCAATATTTACTGGATTTATCCTTGGATTCCTTCAATACTCAATTCAAATATCACCTTCTTCAGGAAGCCTTTCGCTGTCCTCGCAGGGCCCCTAGCTGCTTAGAGGGAAAATACTCTCAAAGATTACTTTTTAGGTTCCTATTTAAATACACATTGTCTCCCTCTTTAAATTGTAAACTGCTTAAGGACAGGGATTGTTCTTTACTCTTCTTTGTATCTCCAGTGTTTTGCACAGTTCCCGGCACATAGTGTTTAATAAATTCTTTTTCTTTCATTCTTTATTCATTTTTAAAATGATTTTTATGGTGAACTTAACACTCTTAAACACTATTCAAAGAACTAAAGATTTCATGCCAAACAAAATAAGAATTAGACAAGAGAAAAGAGTAACTTTTAATGATGCCCCTTCCAGGGTCACTTAATCTGAAAATCCCTTGGACATCCCAGATTGAACTGTAGTGATCTTTATGGAAGAAAATATTTTGGAGGAGATTGATGTTATAATTCCATGTTGCCTCAGTAGCTATGGACACTGCAGTGTATAAGTTGAGTGTAAAGAAAAACCAGGTGTGCAAGCCATGGTTCATGCAAAAGGTGAGTTTCTGAGTAGATGAGTGAACTGTATTATAAGAATTCTGTATTATAAGAATTATTCTTATAATATCAATTATAAGAATTGATAGGAGGGCAACTAAGTCTCCTTGAAGGTAGAAAATATACTACCCAAGATGTTATCCAAAGGTCTGATAGTTTCTGACCATCAGACTGAAAATAGCATGCTGTGAGATGATGGATTTTCACCTGGAGGGCCATGAATAGTGCAGTTCCCCCAGACATGGGAATGAACTGGGAACCCCACTAGCCATGTCATTGGAGGAGAGAATGTAGAGCCAGGTGATCTCTTTCAGGATTAGACGGCCAGCCTTATTGGTGATGGGAGAGATGTCACAGAGGAGTGAGCGATTCATGCTGGTCAATACCTCTTCTACCACTAGAATTGCATCATACCTTGGGGATTGGGGCATGTCTACAATGAAGTCCAGAAGAACCCCCAAGAACAGAATAGGGTTGGTAGGGGTGGCAATAATCCTACTGACTTCTCCATGGACTCCCTGGACTAGGCTAGGGGAATACCTTATAAGATTAATTATCCCAGGGTCAGCTAGGTGTCACAGTAGATAGCACACCAGTCTTGGGAGTCAGGAGGACCTGAGTTCAAATCTGGTGTCAGACACTTGACACTTACTAGCTGTGTGACCCTGGGCAAGTCACTTAACCCCGATTGCCCCACCAAAAAGCAAAAAAAAAAATTATTAGTTACCCCAGCAGGCAGCTTTTTTAACTGGTCATCAAAAGTTACTACAGGCAATCACATGTATGACTTTTAAAACAAATTTTTAAAAAAATGAATGTAAACCCCATGAGTAGGAATTGTTTCATTCTTTATATTTGTATCCCCAGTGCCTAAAACAGTGTCTGGCACATAGTATGCACTTTAAAAAGTTGACTTGCTGGTTGACTTAAAAAAAAAAATACCCATGTAGCCAGTGAACACGAAGTGCTGCTTATCAAGTCTTGCCAGGACCCAGCATAGAGACACAAACAGATGTAGAAGAGACACTAAAGACTGACTTTCCTTCAGAAGCAGTACTCACACTAGTTTAGGATACCATCTAGTGTAGGTATTGGCATAGAGTGCCTGCTGGTGGTGGGTCAGATGTAGCAGAGATACTTGAGGATAAAGTCTGTAAAAGGCAGCTGTAAAAGGCACAGGGTGCCAGGCCTGAAGTCAGGAAGATTCATCTTCCTGAGTTCAACTCTGGCCTCAGACACTTACTAACTCTGTGACCCTGAGCAAGTCACTTAACCCTGTTTGCCTCAATTTCCTCATCTGTAAAATGATCCAGAGATGGAAATGGCAAACCACTCCAGTATCTTTGCCAAGAAAATCCCAAAAGGGGTCACGAAGAGTTGGACATGACTGAAAAATGGCCAAACAACAAAAAGTATCTGAAGTTGAATCTTCTTTCCTGATTGTTGAGTGTCTGGTTTGACCCCTATTTCATGAGGTTTCTAGGCCATACTCACTTCACTCTTAGCTCTACTCCTCATTCTCCAGACTTCTCTACTCCTTGACAAGCAGCCAGCCGTCTGACCTTGAAGATGCCTCTTCCCTGAAGCCCATCTTCCTTCATTGGTAAGTGCATGACCCACACCATCGTCTCATAAGCTGCCATACCTCATCTATAAGGAATGTACTTCATTATGCTCCCTACCTACTATTCTTCTTCCCAGGTCCTCCTTATGTGCCACCTTTCTCCATTAGTATGTAAGCTCCTTGGCATAGGGAGTCTTTTTTGTATGTGTTTATATCCCCAGTGCTTACAAAGTAAACATTTAATAGATGATCTATCTTTCTGCAGGATGTAATCCACCAGCTTTACAAATTCCTTTTTTTTTTTTTGCAACACTGAATATATTTGCAGGTTATGGGCTCCTAAAATATTAGTGATGGTGAAGTCAAATACAATAAAAGATCTAACATTGGTTAAAGGACCACACAGTCTAAAGGTGTTCCAGGTTCCTAGGCTTGCACAGGCAATATGTCATGTCTTGAAAATGATACCTTCATATCTCAAATGCAGTTTTGTCTTTACGTAGCTCCTTTTTCTCATCTCATGCAGATCCTTTCTCCAGTAGTTAACTTGTGAGAGCAGATATGGTAGGACCTGAACAAGTCAGACTGTATAGCGTAGACTATGAGAGCATCAACTCCACAGAGTGATCCTGTATTCACTGGTCTCTATAATGACATGTTTTTTTTTTTTCAGATCCAAATAGGTTAAGATAGGAGATGAAGTAAGCTAATTCTTGATGTCCTATAATGTTAAAATTCAATGACAGATCCTTCTAGCACTAGTATGTGCTGGAAAACCTTGGAATGTCTCTATAAGTTGGTAGGAGGCTCTGTCAAAGCAGAAAACCTGGGGATGAAGTAGCAAAAGTGTATTTGCCAGTGGTCTTATCATGTGCCCTAGAAATTCCATCTCCTTCTGGAGCTGGTACTTCTCCAACTCAGCAAGCATCTAGGATTAGTATGAATTCTTGAAGATTGCTTAAATGACCTTGCCACACTGAACAGAATCTAGAGAGTAAAAAACGATATTGTCAAAGTAGATCCCTCCCTATCCCCAAGACCAGTAGATTTCTTTGTGGAAGGGAGTAAAGTGTAAGAATTCTAGTGGGAAGGGTCCAGGCTATTAAGAGCTTTAAATGTCAAACAGGGCAATTTGTTTTATCTTAAAGGTGATAGGTAGCCACTGGCACTTACTGAGCAGCAGGTTGACATGGTTAGTACTATACTCTAGAAAAATCTCCTTGGAAGCTAAGTGGATGATGGATTGGAAAGGGGAGAGCCTTAAGGCAGGATAACAGTCAGAAGGCTATCACAAGAGTCAGGTAGTGATAAGAAACTGAAATGGGCTTGTGACTGTATCAATCAGTCAGTCAGTAGACATATTTTAAGGGTCTGATATGTGCCAGGCACTGTGCTAAACATTGGTATACAAAAAGAGACAAAAGACAGTCCCTGCCCTCAAGGAGCTTACAATCTAATGGAAATGAGAAATTGGAGTCATTTAGTGTTGGAGGTTTTCTCTAGGATTTTAGTCAAAAAGGGAAGAGAAATAAGATGATAGTGAAAATGGTAAGGTCAAGTGAGGATTTTTGAAGGATGGGGAGAAATAGGCATATATGTAGGCAGTAGGCAAGGAGCCAGTAGATAGGGAGACATTAAAGATAAGAGAGGATATTTCTAGGGAGTAGATAGTGAGAGGGTATGATAGTGGGGGCAATCTGTGCAGAAATCAGAAGGGGAGAGGGCTGGTGTTGACAAAAAGGAGAGACACCTTTTCATCTAATACTGGGGTGAAGGAGGAGATAATGGAGGAAGATGTCTCAATGATGTGAGATGAGGAGGAGAAAGACATAAGGGTACCTCTCAGCAAATAGACTTGATTTGGGGAGGACGTGAAATAGGAGACAAGGTCCTTGACTGAGAGGGTTGAGGGAGGCATTGCCCTGAAGAGGCTTAGGGAAAGATGAGAATGTTTAGAATGGCAATTGTGGAAACTGGGATATTTAATGAAGTAGGGAGGAATAGAATGTTTGTCTTACTGCAATGAGGGTCCAGTGGGGATTAAAGAGCAGAAATTTGTATTCAACACAATCAATATAGTTTCATAACTTCCTCCATCTCCATTCAGCAGTTCATGAATAGGAGAAAAGAAGACAGATGGTGGGAGTAATCTAAGTTTGAATTGCCATATTGGTCTTAGGACAAGGAGGCAAAGGATTCAAGAACAAGGGATAGACTAAAGTTGAGTTGGGGTCAAGCAAGTGCAAAGAGTGAAGGTAATGGAGGTTATAGGGAGGATAAAGAACTAGGTCATGAGTCATAAGGTATAGGGAAAGATGTGATAATAAAATGTTATGATCAAATTAAAAGAATTTCAGATTTCATGAATAAGGAAGTGGAACACTTGTAGATGATTACAAGATTAAAGATAAGACTC